ATCCAATTTATCAGTATTTTCTTTTAAGGGTTATGTTATTTATGTTATATCTAAGAACTCCTTTATATGGGACAGAAAGATTTCTTCTATGCTATTCTTTAAAAGTTTTATAGTTTTAGCTCTTGCATTTAGTTTTATTACCCATTTTTTAAATTGTGCTTTGGGTGTAAATTTACAGAGCAGAATTTATTTTACATTCAACATTTTGTGGTACATTTGGTTCACGCTCCGATTACCATTCCCAACCTTAACCCACTGTCCTCCCTTCCCTTCCCTATGACCCCCCCCCATCCCTGTGCCCTTCTTAGTTATGCACTCCTGTCTGTCCAGCCTTCCCTCCATGTGAATGCTGCACCTCTGGTGCCCCACGGCCAATTGGTCCAAGGGGTGTATCTCCGTAGAGTAGATGGGTGCATCACCCTGGGTTGGGTGTTCTGTATGTAAGTCTTTCTACTGTTGGGCTAAGAGCTGGTCCTTGGGAGTAAGTCCTATTCCAGGCCTGAAGTGTATTCCAGGGCCATAGTCTTGGGGGTCCCACTAGACTCCATCTGACCAATAATTCTGATCATTATTGTGTTTTTGAATTTTATTGCACATTTTTCCTCCCACTCTATTCAGCATGTCCAGTTTTGATCCCTTCCCAAGTGGTTGGTATTGGTAGCCGGGCACCATCTAGTTCTTCTGGTCTTTATTATCCATTTTGAACTCATTTTTTCAATATGGTATGAAGTAAAGTTCTAAATCTGTCTTTGTGCAGGTGGCTGTCCAAATGACCCAGAACCATTTGGAGAAAAGACTATCATTCCTCTACTGAATTGTCTTAGCAGTTTGCCAAAGATAAATTTGCCATAAATATAGAAGTTTATTTCAGGATTTGCAATTCTGTTTCATTGATCAATATGTCTATCATTATGTTAGTTTCATACTATTTTGATTACTGTACCTTCATAGTATGTTTTAAAATTGGGAAGTATAAGTACTCCAACCTGATACTAAAAGTGTTATTCTTTCTCAAGGTTGCTCTGACTATTCTTGTTCTTATACATTCCATATAAATTTTAGGATCAACTTGTCATTTTCTCCAAAAATGTGAGCTGGGGTTGGTATAGGGATTGCTTTGAATCTATAGATCAATTTGGGTAAAATTTCCATCCTAACAATACTGAGTTGTCCAATCCATGAACATGTTGTTGTTGTTGTTGTTATGTGCCATCGAGTCAGACCCAACTCATAGCTACCCCTCCTTGGGTTTCCGAGGCAGTAATACTATGGAAGTAGATTGCCCCATCTTCCTTCTAAGGAGTGGCTGGTGGGTTTGAACTGCCAGCCTTCTGTTAGCAGTCAAGTGTCTTAGGCATGGAATTGATTTAGATCTTCTTTAAATTTCTCAGCAATTATTTTGTAATTTTTACAGATCTGGCACTCCTTTTTTTTAAATTTATTCCTAAATATTTTATAATCTGATGCTATTGTTAACGAAATTATTTTCTTCATTTGCAGCTTATTACTTGTATGTAGAAGTACAATTGATTTCTGTATATTGATCTTGTATCCTACAAACCAGCTGAACTTGTTCATTAGTTCTATTATACTTTGTTTCTTTTGTAAATTCTTTCATATTTTATATATCTACTTATCATATCCTTGTAAATAAAGACAGTTTATTTTTACTTTTCAATCTGAGTGTCTTTTATTTCTTTTCCTTGCCTGATTGCATTGGCCAGAATCTCCAGAGCAATAGTGAACTGTGTTGGTGAAAGCAGACATAGGTAGTTGCCTTATTCTCAGTCATACAGGAAAGCATATTAAAGTTGAAGTCCCTAACTCTACTCAGAGATTCTTCTATTTCTCATTTCAGTTACGTCAGATTTTGTTTCATATACTTTAAGGGTGTTTTTAGTGTATTCATACATACTTAGTATCATTGTGTCTTCTCAGTGAATTGATCTTTTTCATTATGTAGTGTTCCTTTATTCCCTCTGATAGTTTGCCTTGAAGTCTAGTTTACCTGATATTAAAAGTGCCACTTATGCTCTTTTATTTATTTATATATGCATGGTATATCTTTTCCTATTGCTTTGTCTTTCAACCTACTGCATTTGAATATGAAGTGAATTTCTCGTAAGCAGTATATAGTAGAGTTGTGTTTTTAATCCACTGTGCCAACCTCTGTCTTTTAATGAGTTTTAGGTCATGTGTGCTTAAGGTAATTATCATATTTTACACAAAAGTATGCACCTTTTTTGCCAACCACATCCCTCCCTGGAGGTATCAGTTGATGCTTTTTCTCAAGTTGTGATTTTCTTGCTTCTTGGCATGAGTAGTGGTTTTTTATTCACCCTGTACACTTTGTGTACCACATTTGGACATTCTGGTCCTATTTAAATCTTAATTTTACAGGGAGTCACTCTGTTTAGGTTTAGCACACTGGCCTTGGATTGCTTTTGTGAGCTACAGTTTCAATGATGGTTTAATTTTCAAGCCATTAGTTTGGTTTGCTTGGAGTATCAAGTGCTGCTGGGGCTCCCACTGGTCTCCCTATTAGTGCTGCAGGTTACAGAAGGAATTTCCTCTATCTAGGTCACCAAAATGAGCCGTGGTACGGCAGTGGTTGAAGCATTTGGCTGCTAACTGAAATGTTGGCAGTTCAAACCCAGTAGCTGCTCTGTGGTACAAAGATGTGGCAGTCTGCTACTATAAAGATTAACAGCTTTGGAAACTCTATGGGACAGTCCTACTCTGTCCTACAGTGTTGTTTGAGTTGGAATTGACTTGACCACAATGGTTTTTTTGGTTTGGTTCAGGTTACCAATTATCTATCTAGCAGCTGTGGTGTCCTTGGCCAGAGAAGGAGAGCCTTAGGCCAATGGGGACAAAGAGGCTTCTTTAACTCGGCCACCTGGTTAATCTGGGTCTCACTTACCAATTACTCATGCCCACTTCATCTCCCTCCATGGAAATGGGGAGTCTCTTGCCCAGCAAGGACAGTGCTTCCTCTGATTATTTTTGGCATATTTCTCAATAGATTTCTCTCATCTGATATTGCCTGGGGGGTCCTAATCAGTGCAGAGGAAAATAAGCTACTTTTGCTATTTTCTATCGCTAGACTGGGAGTAAGGAAACACCAGGTCGTGGTGGCCTTCTCTTGGTTGTGGGCATGCAATATACCCTGCCTCTGTGCTGTTGGTTTGATCCTGGGTTCTCAATTAGCTCATCTTCTTAGCACATCTCAAAATTCTCCTTTGATTATCTCTTGTGCTATTTCCAGGGTTTATAGCTGTGCTTATGGGACCAGGTTTCCACCACCTTGTTAAAATCTTTATTTTTTTGTTTTGCTAATTTAAGCCCTGTACATATGGATATAAACAACCTCAGAAACCTTTGCCCAGTGCAGGCATTTTACCGATTTTTCAACAAATGAAATTAATGAGACTAGAAAAAAATTGTGCCAGTAAGCCAGAATCTAAATTGAGCTTTGTTGTTGTTGTTGTTGTGTGCCGTCGAGTCGGCCCCGACTCATAGCGACCCCTCCTTGGGTTTCCGAGGCAGTATCACTACAGAAGTAGGATTGCCCAACCTTCCTTCTGAGGAGGGGCTGGTGGGTTTGAACCGCCAGCCTTCTGGTTAGCAGTCAAGTGCTTTAGCCACTATGCTACCAGAGCTCCTAGATATAAGGATATTGTGGAGGACCCCCTACTCACACACACACACACACACACACACACACTCACACCCCTCCTCTCAGGCAATCTCCTTCCAATTTTCTCAAGATACTCTCTTCATCAAGCACAAATGGATTAATAAGACTTCAAGGAGGCTGGGGAAAGTGGGAGGGAGTGGTAGAACCTATTGGCATACTATAAGAAGAGCCTATTACAGGAAGGTCACAGCCCCATCTTCTTGGGCTTCTCTGTGTAGTAAGATCTGACATGAATGTGTCTGCTTGGAAAATCTTAACTCTGAAATGCTGAGTATTATCAGGAGAAAGATAGTTCCAGAACTACCCAGGTTGGCCTGTTTCTGCTCTGAGCTTCAGTGGGTGAAAAGGCTTAATAGAGTCAAGTGCACCAAAGTAGAAAAACATGTTTATTTGGGGCAGAATCTTCAATCCAGTACATCTCATTTCTTTCTTACTTACTCATTTACATTCAAAGTGGTTTCAATGGATACATAATACATAAGAAAATATAAATTAGATAGAGTCAAAATAGAACAAGACAGAAACAAAGATCAGGAATAAGCTGGTGGAAAAATGTTTCCCTGTGATTTTCTACACTTACCATAAACAGCTGATGAAAAAGCACGTGGCTGGGACCTCTCCTGTGCCATCTCTAACTAGAAACTCAGGAAAGCACAAGATTCAGTACAGAGGCAACAGAGTGTATTCCTAACACGGGTGAACCCTCAACGTATGCAATAGAGGGGACAAAGTCCCATGGAATATTTCCCTAGAATGCTCCACACATTTACTGTTCCTGAAGCCTGTCTGGCACTTGACTGCTAACCAGAAGGCTGAAGGTTCAAACCCACCAGCCACTCCTTGGAAGGAAGATGGAGCTATCTACTTCCGTAGTGATACTGCCTCAGAAACTCAAGGAGGGGTTGCTATGAGTCAGGGCCAACTCGACAGCACATAACAACAACAACAACAAGCCTGTCTGATTTCTTCTGAAAGATTCCTGAGTTCGTTCTTTGAGAATGGTCATCATCCTCAGCAGTGTAATCTGAGTAGAAGACTGGCTACAAAATTCTTGAAAGATTACATCCCAGTTAAGGTCCATTACAAGTCAGAGACTATATAAATATGCAGAAAGCATGAACCAAGCACAAAACTACAGTCATCAACTCCTCAAATTCTTTTCTTTTAAATTCTTCTATTTGATTCTCAGAATCTAAACCAAAACTGATAGAGACTTGCAGCATCTCTCTCAAGTCAGCAGGAAATCTAGGTGAAGAAATGACACACCAGAACTGAGACGTAGCCAAGCGTCATGGCCAGGGACTAAATGACCACACTTCTTCCACTATGGGAGCTCTCTCTCTCCTGGGAATAAAATGCCAAAAAAAAAAAAAAAAAAAAAGTCAGTCAGCTGAGAGCACTATTGCCTATGCATACAACATACAAGGTGTGCTTGATCCAGGTGCAAATCCTGGGTGAATGGGTGGTTGCTGGGACAAATATGAATCTAAAAATATTCCTTGACTCTTCATGTGAAGCCACTCTCTCCCTTGGGCTTAGGCTCCTCCTCCTTTCTAGCTTTTGAATCTTCCCTCAAATACCTTTAGTTTCTGAAAATTTCACTCTGCCTCTGTTTTTCAACATTTCAAGTCTCTCTCAGCCTGAAAACAAAGCTACCCTATTCCACTAATTATCCCATCTCTCTACTTTCTATTCATGAAGCTATGGCCCATTTCTCCTATTCCTCACTATGTATATTCTCCTGATCTATTTCTTCTCAAATTTTTACTACAAAGGTTAAGTTTATCTGTTAGTATTTCTCTGAGTTTATTTTTCAAAGATTACTACCTCTTCCTGACAAAACACAATGGCCTTTCTTCACAACTTATTCCATTTGATCTGTGTGAAAACACTTGCTTCATGAGGGCAAGGGCTATGGTTTATTTACACAGCTCAGTTTCTCCAACTATGTATTGTAGAAGCTCATTATGTTTATTTTTTTAATATCTAATTTTTAATATTTAATGTGACCTTCCTCCTCTTATCTGAAATAGGAAGATTGGTATCTGTCCCAAAACATACTGTTC